GCACATTTATTATTGATATAAGGGCAATGAATAATCAGATTGCTGAGTGGGCAAAGCAGTTGGAATATCTCTACTACAGGTCTCTTAATGTTTAAACTATTAACAATTAATAGGGGAAACGAGCCCAGATGTAAATAGCCTGTTCATAATTTCTGTCTATGAATTATGTAAGATCCTTTAGCAAATATAGTAAACAATATATAGAAATTTAAGACGAGCCGCACATATTTTAGCCTTAATGATACATTTTATGAGCAATCCCGAGGTTTAGTTAATGGATCATGTTTGCCCCAAATTTAGCAAATAACTAGGTGGCTCAATTATAGGGTAGAATATTCAGGAAACACTTATAATTTCCAAATTGCTGGTTATACACTCGTATGACAACCTTGCAATTTGGGAGGGTCTGTATGATTGCCTTAAATTGATTGTGAATATATGTAGAGAGAGTAAATTTAAAATTGAGTTGAGGCTACCTATTTTGTGTTTTCTAGCTAAAAAAAAATAAAGAACAAAATTAAGTAAGGATGTATAGGTTACCTGAATATATGGGTATCCTTATAGATTCCTATCCTCATCATATTTATAGAGAGAATTATGAGCTATAAAATCACTTATAATAAGATGTCTGCGTCTTGCTGAGATTAATCACCAGTATGAGGAAATTAAGGGATTTAAAGCAATTTTAGGGGAGATCAATTATATATTAGAATTAATTTAAAATTAGTTTATAATAATATATATATATATATATATATAACAGGATCCTGATCTCACCGTTTTGCCAGCTTCCAAAAAGTCTTTTAAAATTACTAAGATAATGAGACATTCAAATAATGTGTAAAGAGAAAATAAAACTTCACTTAAAAATGCCTAATTTTCGCTAAATTTCGGTCCTTCTTTCTAGAACAGGCTTCTACAATGTTTTGTGCCCAGATGGTAGCGACTAGATGAGAAAGACATAGAGGTTAATTTAACGCAACAGCCTGCATAGTTTAGTGGGTCTAAGCACTTGAATTGACTGAATATAAAAATGGCTAACGAAAGGCACCATACATAATTAAGATTTATTCACTCTATTTCATTTTTAGTGATCGAAAACAGGTAGGACACACGTTTCCATTCAATTTCACATAGCCCGTGAGGAAGGTCCGTCAACGTTAGGTGAGCTTCCTTCAGTTTCCGGCAAGGCCAATTATTGATTCCCCTGAACCGAACTTCTTGATAAACCGGATAGAAATATATCATATTTTTGATATTTCTATAATTATGGACAACAAAAAAGAGGAATTTACACAAGATATAATTCACCCACCCAAACCAAATTTTTCCATTGTCCAAAGAGCTGCTCATTTGCAATCGGCTGATTTGAATCTGCCATAGCTTCGGTTGGGACCAAAGTTCCACCAGGATCCTGAAAAAGGCGTACTTGAACCAGGAATACAACCGGTTGTCTGTCAGCCGACCAACTTTCCAACGCGCCGTCATCAGTGTTTATCTGGCCACCCATACTTTCTGAGAGAGCGCCAGAATATCTAGTATCTGAGCCAGCTTTTGGGATTAGACGGGAGTAGTAGTCAGGCCAGTCAAGCTCAAGTTGGTATTGCCTCGGGTCTAGGGAGAGACCTGAGTGCCTGTCTAACAAGATGGAGGAATCCGAAGAGTTATCCTGAAGCTCTGCAGCCATGGCAAATGGGGTTGCTACAGTCTGATGGGCCATGGGAGGCAAAGGGCCAGTCTCTGGGCTTGACTGCGATTGACCACGTAGACCAAAAATTCCATTCGGTGGAGGTGCAGGAGTCCCTGAGCTGCCAACTATAGTCTGTTTGACAATAGGAAGGTCAGGGATTGGTGGCACGCCTCGTATGGAGGCAACACCCTCGACACAAGTGCCCCCTTTAATTTCTCTGTCAGTAACCTCAGCACTAGCCTGGTCAGATCGAGCGCGCCGGTAACCCACCGAACCTAACGAGGTCAGTGAAGGAAGTAAAAATAATTCTTTCTGAGAATGCGAATCATCTACCTTGAAATAATATTTTGTAGAGGAGATATATAAATTTGAAGGAAAAAAGGAAGGTGTATGGGAATAAAGCTTATATATGATAAAAGGGGGGCTTCGAAGAATTCTCAAGTAATTTCGTGTCATTTAATCTCTTTATTTCCATGTAAAGTTGAGTGGAAGAGGTACGTTTTAAGAAGGGTACATAACATTCGTTGGTATCGTGCCTTTTACCATCTGAGGCAACCTAATTCGACTTTAGTTCTCATTAAGAGCCGACTACGATTCGGGCGAAAAGTTTGGGAATGTACCACGTCCACGGTTCATGCAGACAATGGTCCCGGACTAGGTGCGTTCCAATAAGTCTTCCTACCAATATGACCATGTTGCGTAAACAAGGTCGAACAATTTCTATACAACGAAAGGAGACTGCGACCACACAAAAGGCCACACCATCTTGGTCTTCATAACTTCGATTGAAATATGGAAGTAATATTGCCAAATTATGCACTGATTACAGCCGGACAAAGAAGACAATTGTAAGTCAATCCTGCCATTTAGCCTTTATGAATTGTTGCAAACATTATGGTATCACTCCCCGATTCTGCAATTTAATGAGTAAGTGTCATTCGGACAGAGTTAATGAAATTCTTTATCACGCTTCCATGCAGACCGAGAGGCGTAAGCTATTTAAGTTCATAGATCTTAAGTTTAGATTAAGGAAGGATTTAGGTAGGTTACTCGCTTTGGATGATTTTCAAAAACTCCTTAGCATGACCGACCAGAAGTCACATAGGGTCAGGACAAGAAATAACTAAGCTATGGGATAATAAGACAACGCAAGACCAAGCGAACCCGGGCAAATTATGATGGTTCTCTATTGA